TACATTAAAACTAGCAAAAGATATTTGCGCGGTGGCAAAGCGAAAATATTTCGGGCGGGGCCACTGCTATCGATGAACAATAAAGGCCTCTTGGGCGATAAACACTGATCGGAAAGTTGAACGACACGGAGAAAACAGTAAGTTGGCTCGAAGCCAATATACCTGCGGCCCCAGCACGGCCCCCTGTGGAACCCACGTACTGCGTGCATTCACGCTCTCCGCGACGTGATAAAGGCTTAACAAATTGCGCCTAACTTGGAAGCACACGTCGCCGAATGTAAGCAGTAAATAGTTGCATGTTTACCGGTAAAGTTTTAACCTCTCACTGTCGACTGACGGTCGCTTAATGGCCGCGTGTTTCCATTGTCGCGCGGTTGCCGGCGCCACGTAGACGCGCAAACTCGACTCAATTGTCGCTGCTTAAATTACTTCTGCATTTTTGTTAAGTTTGCACTAATTATATTTATATTTGCTTGCTCCACCTCTGTTCTCTTTTAACTGACTCTTAATAAATAAGTTTTGTTTTTATATTTAACTTAGAATTGTATTTATTTCTCATGCCAATTCCTAAATAACTTTAACCATGAAGTTAACAATGTAATATACTCGTAGTAATATGCAAGATATACTCGTAGACATACTTATTTTTGTAAGTGAAATCGAATACCCAATAATTCCTAATATAGCCTAAACTATTTTTGACTAGTAAGAAGCAAATAAAATACTTTGAAAATTGTAATCCTAAATCTTTTTTGCAACCGTTGAATATTTTTATCTAGGCTCCATTTTATAAATTGTTCTTTATACCAATGCTATACATATTTCTGTATCTTTACGTATTATTAAATTAATTTTAAATCAATTTTTTATTTATCTAATATCTATAAGATTAAATAAAAGATGAAATAATTGGTTTATATAGAATCATAGGAGATTAGGCACTAAGCCAGTAAAAAACACTGTTAAAAAAGCCTTATTCTCAACCTATTCCTCGGGTCTTATCGGGTAGTCGTCCAGTTAAGGAAAGAAGACGAGTACTCACAAAACCGAAATAACTTTTTGCACCGTAGGATAAAAAACAAACTGTAGTAAATCAAAATTTTATAAAGAATCTAGCGGACCCGAGAGACGTTGTTCTGTACACTCTTCTTAAATCCGAAAACAACTTATGAATAAAAACAAACTATAAACTTTATTAACACTCGAATTGACTTGAACACACACAACAAATTTCATTATAATAGGTCCCGCGCTTTAGGAGTTCAGTCACATACACATGCACAGAAGAATCATAAATATAAAGTTTAACTTTTACAGACAAATATTACTATATATAGGAATGCTTATATAAATGAAAAGTAATAAATGTATGCAGCCCAAAGTAAACAATACTAACTCCGTAATCAATAAGAAAGACAAAGAAACTACTTTCCTTACACAGATCGCGTGGCGCATTTACAAACTCGCTTCGGTGTGGAAACTTTATACGGACAAGTTTAAAATGAAGGATTGGAAAATTCGAGGCACAGACGGCGGTATTATTGAATTTCACCAACTTAACCACCTTTGATTATCAGAATGCACTCAACTTTTGCTGAGAAATTTATGTTTCTGTCCAAAGTCTTCTTATGTTTAATATTAACTCTCCTATTTATGTAGCGTTTTGATTGTATGTTGTAAAATAAAAATAAGATTGTGTTCCTTTGACTATCGAATTAGAATTTCGATGTGTTACGTTGTGAAAATTTTTTCAAATGTTTTACAATTATCACAAATACAACTATGATAAAGTAAAGGAAGTAACAGACAGTAAAATAATAATTTATCCATATATTTCCTACCGCTGAGCACATTTCACATATCATACGGCCAGTTCACATGTTTTTTATTCTTTTTTTATGCAATAGTAATATTTGTAAGTGTAATCGACATTCCCAGAAAAAGAACCAAGCGATTTGCTTCGTCATTTACCATCCGCACAGCTAAGGAATGGAACAACCTGCCGGCGTCCGTCATTCCGTCCGATTACAACTTAGGTGTCTTCAAGGCAAGAGTGAATAGGTTTCTACTGAGCTAGCGCGCTTGCCATCAAAGGCTGCATCGCCACTTACCATCAGGTGGGATGGCAGTCAAGTGCTGGCCAGTTCAAAAAAAATACTTTTTATATTATGCGGTGCTGATTTTAATCTCTTAAACCGCTGCCCATAGATACACGCTGGTTGTTCCCCGGATGAACGTGCAACATTCGTGCAACAGCGGGATCTAATGCGTGGCCCTACCACAGTAAAACAAATAGACTCAATTGATTGAACTCAAGTGATAGGGCGGCACTTGAAATTGCCGTTATTGGGAATATAAATCAGATTGATCGAGTATCAAAAGCTCTAGTTAAAGTCATTGACTATCACGCAACGCACTCTTAGTCTAACGAAAATGTAAGTAACAATTTTTTTTTGTTTCCTTTCTTATCAAGGATTATTTGCTGATATCCTGGCATGCTGTTGCAGCCTGAAACAATACAGCTTGTCTTAGCGCAACCCATAAATTTTAAAACAATAAGAGATATAATTTTTTGACTGAAAGGTTATATCTTCCAAGAGACAGTGAATATTGAACCTGTCTGTTGGGTCTGGCCCATGTGTCGGGTGTGGGCTCGATCCCTACTACTGGAAAAAATATTGTTTCTTGATGGAGCTTTTCTGGTGTCTGGGTGCTAAAATGTTGATTCTTGGTGGTGTTTATCTAGTGTCTGGGTGTTTATATATCTATAACATGTATTTATTTAAAAAACAAAGTATATTTTAGTATATTTATCGGTTACCTAATACCCATAGTACAAGCTTTTCTTGGAAATAGGTCTTGAAATATTTGTTATTTAATACCATCAATGGCTTGAACAATACTCTCGGACACTATTATTGGTTATGTACTATAATTTCTTAGCGCCTACAATCAGGTATGCCACTGAAGACAGTTATCGAGTTAATTTTTATGATATAAAATAAATATTATGCTTCAACTGATGGGAATAAAAAAAGGCTCCTTCTACATCTGTTCACTGTTCTTTAGTTCTTGACTTGGCTAGTGCAAACATTTTTATTTTGTGTGACGTATGTCAAAGACATAAAACGCGTCTTCTTCGAGACAAGTACCTCAACAACGACAAAGAACTTTTGACATATTATCTTGTGTTCAGTTGACAAGCAAACGTTTAGGGATCTTTTATATAGTTTAGATACATTCAAAGGTCTGGCAAGCCATGTTTGTAACATTAAAATATGTCTACCTTCGTATTTTGTTTTCATATTCTCAATGAAAAAAATAATCCTTTAAATAATTATGTATAACATAATTATTTATCTATTTATTCCACTTCAAGCCAAAATAACCTAAAAAAGAAAACTATTTTAGTCTTTCAAATTATAAACACTCTTGGTTAAGCTTCTTACCTGTCGTTCAAAAATCGCTGGCGTGTTTTAGTCTGTCTTATGTACAAAATCCATATTAAAGCAATTTATTACTCCATCGTATATAATTTTGCAAACGAACAGTTGGTTCACATAACGCTCATTGGTTACCGCCGCGAACACGTCAACAGTACCTGAGAAGTTGCAAAATCGTAATACGTTTTAAAAACCAGCCTTTTAAAAAGTGGCCTTGCTTACCTCACTTACCAAACGAAATTCGAAATAACTTTATGCCGATATCTGATATGATACGAATGATAATATTGATCGCTAAATGAATTGATCGCGCCGGGCTCTTTCAATCGGACTTTTTATATTGTGTTTAATATATTCATGTCACAAAATGTAAAACATGTCCACACTGTCAAAATTTGGTATAATAAAATGGTCCGCTGAGTTTCTTTCGCCAATTCTTCTCAGATAACTCTGGCTCTTCTTTTCAGAACCAATGGAAATATTTTGACTATCAATAAGTGAGTGTAATGTTAATATGTTGATTGAAGATATTTGAATTTGAATTGTGAGGCCACGGTACGTCCCCCGACGAGCCTGTCGATTTGTGCAACAACCGAAACTGCTGAATGGCCCTACCATAGTTAAACTCGATTTAAATAACAAATCTAGTTGTAATGTTACCTGTGAAAAAACCATATCATTAGACCACAACGCCGTTTTAGTCGTGTCCGAGTATCCGTACGTAACGCTTTCGATACATAAAACTGACAAATAATATAGTTTTGCGGCGTGACGACGCGACGCGAAAACATTTCGGTTGGAGGACCCCCGCCAACGATTTGGCAATAAAATCCCCACGGGCGATAAAAACTAATCTGCAAGTTTGACGACATAGGGGAAAACAGATCCTTGGCTAGCGGCCAACTTACCTTAATGGGTCCTCGACAAGCCCAACGTGCGTTCTTCCACACCGAGACAAATGGCGGAAACCGGCCAAGTGCGAGTCGGACTCGGCCACGAAGGGTTCCATTATCTGTAAAAACGGCAAAAAATCATGTCTGTTGTCCGTGACGTGTTTTTTTATCAAATTTCAACTGTCTAACTACCACGGTTCATGAGATACAGCCTGAAGACAGACAGACATACAGACAAGCACACAGCGGAGTCTTAGTAATAGGGTGGGTACGGAACCCTAAAAAAACAAACTGAGATTTCGTTGTTGTCTTCTAATCTTGTGCTTGAGTTTCCCTGCTGTATTTTTGAAAGATAAGTCTTCAAAATTATGTTCTAATCTAGTCGCCGCGTAATTTCATAACGACTTCTGTAACAGTGCGATTGTGCCAAAATTAATTAAAGATTAAGCAGAAGTGAAATATAAGATAAATTTTTGTATAAAATAAGCGAATTTCGTATTGAAGAAAGGGAGAAATTCTAGAGTATATTTTTTAGAGTAACGAAACCGTTTCTTTGGGCGAAAAAGCGACTGTATATTTCGTTATTCCCTCCATGGCCTATTCCCGAGGCCGCTGTCAGTATTATTGCAGCTGCCGACGGTGTAAACAGACGGAGCGTTCAAGAATGGATCCGAATTTATTTGAGACGCTTATCAAAAACAACTACAACAATCCGGGATCCGACGAAAAACAACTACATCGGGCCGAGCGCTCGCTTATTTTCGGCAGCCAACGCGAGCCCGTGAACGGTAAATTGGGATATGAAGCTGTACATTTATATAGGTATATTATAGGCACGAAATTATTTCGTCGCCCGTGTCACATCCAATATCGTTGTAAGATCAACCGGAGTTTCGGTAACTGATTTAATTGTGGGCCCGAGTTTGAGGCTTTGAGTAATCCTATCCTCATAAGCGGGGGCTCCATCAGTCGTCATTACGCGGACATGAGGCGGGCTGTGCTCCTCCCCCTTCCACCCCCTCCAACCCCCTCCAACTCCATACCCCGTCCCTCACCTGAGGGGACCAAGATTGATACCCACCGCAGCAACCACTGCGCTCTGACAGCTTGTTATTGAAAAATTGAGCGATAATCCCGCACCACCGCGCCGCGCCGTGTTGTTTAAGATTTTCGTATATTTTTTTTTTGTTTCGCTTTCGCATCCGCGTGGGCCCGAATTTTCGCGCGGCTTTATTCCCCGGGCGGGCTTTTAGCGGCGAATGGAAATTGAATGGATTTCACTACGCCGCTCCGGTAAGCGTGTCGCTGTTGAAAGTTTTTAGTTTGGATGGATGACGTGCCGACGTTGTTTAATAGAATGCCAATTTTGGTCGCTACTACTAGGTGACAACTACCCACCATGCCATTAGTTAGGTCATCTCTGTCAAACTTTAACATTTACAAAGGCATTTGTGGTATATGTTCATCTTTGTGAACTTAAATGATTTTTTAGGTCTAATGCCTAAACGTTATAAGACTAAAATAATACCGAACCTTCATATTGCATTCCTGTTCAAAACATTTTTGAATTGACTTCGCAATCTTTACGTCATTTAAAAACTTCGACATTTGCCAAGCAATAATAAACAACTGTTATAATTCTATTTAACTTTATCTTAAGTTATTTTTCTCTCCTGTTGCAGGCTGTGCATTTGTCAAGTTCAGCTCACATCAAGAGGCGCAGGCAGCCATCACTAGTCTGCACGGAAGTCAAACTATGCCGGTAAGTGGATTTTCATTTACACCGCATCAAATCCGAAGGCGAGGTATCTGCGTAAAGTTGTTTTCAAAGCACTTTCAAGCTCGGCATGCCAAGTTTATAACGCCGAATTCTTAAGCGTTACAAATTGTTAATTTTCTTTTAGGCAAATAATATGAACGTCATATTCGTTGTATCCACGGGGTAGCAACTAAGTGGAATAATTTTTAGCGTCTAAGCCAATATCTTATTCGAAGGAAAGAGCAATTTTAATCGCTTTTCAAACAATTTCAATACCGTGTCGAAATACAATAAAAATAGCGCAGACTCGCCAAGAGGTTGAGACTCGCTCGAAAGTTGAAGTGCAGTTCTCAGGTAGAAACGTCACTAAGAACATTCCAAACATTATCACTTAGCTTCTCGATCCATATTGTAGCAATTGAAACTTCAAGTCCACGGAAACTTCTCGATGGGAATGGAACGAGGGTACGGCTTTCGGAGGAGACTTAAGGCATTCCAGACGGCACTTATAATTCAGTTAGATTCCTTACGTTGTTCGCGGGAACGTCCTTCTAAAAATTAGCACTTGTGTGTCCGCAAGTTAAACGAGGATAAGCGAGCGGAAACTTATACGGCATGCGAGTGAACACATTGAAAGTTAAATGGAAATGATTCAAAAAGTAAAACTGTTACCTAAATACCTATTGATATTGAAAACACAAGCAAATAAGATATATAGGGATTTTAAGACTATAATGCGTGTATGCGAACTGCCTGCCATATAAGTTATAATAGACTTGACAATCTGTTACAACCTCGAAACATGCATGCAAATTATATAACATCGCTATGTCCCTGATGTCCAAGCTAACTTAAACAATGACGTTATTTATGTTTACCTCACTTACACGTTTTTTAAAAAAATGGAGCGATGGAACGTTGCAAGATGACGTAATATATTTTTAAAATTATAAGAACAACAAAAAACACACAAACATAAATTTATAAGAAAAAAATGACGTAAGTAAAGAGCGTTACGAAAAGTGTCATCGGCGTTACGAAAAGTGTGATGTTACTAGCACGGTAATTTAATTATTTCGTGATTTCATTCCATTCTTGAATAATTTTATAATTAATGATCTGTTCAATACATTAAATATCCTACGTTTAAAGTGAATAAAATTGTAAATTCAATTTAAAGATCACATTTTGTGATTTTTCGGGTGAATAACAAATTACGGCAGAAAGTTACACGGATTCCGAAAGAGTTAAGTTTCACTCCAGTCGTGTGGTCTAAAGCACACTCGTTTTTTTCAGCGGTTAAACGTATACGTTTTTCAAAATTAAGTGATAGAGCGTCGCAAACACCGTACAACTCCGTTAACACGGCGGACCGCGACGGCAACAGCGTGTTCCCGGTAAACACGGCGGAGTTACAGCGTTCATGTCAACACTCGTCGACTTGTGTTCCATTTCGAGTACTTGTTTGCGAACGCTGCGTACGGGCGGGCAAATATTTAAGTGCGTTGGCCAAACACTGGCGGCCGGGGCTTGTTTGCGCGCAGCGATGTCGCCGCGATGTTTTCATTGATGTCCCTATAACGACCGCCGCGATGGGCCGTTTTATTTGTTTGCCTCGCGACGGCCGTGCTTTGTTAAAAATAATGGTTGCGCTTTTAGTCCTATAGTAAACGTAGAGTGATATCTTTTTTATTTATTAGTGACACATGTAATGATTAAATTTACCAATATATGTAATTTGACATAGCTTTGCGTTGAACGCTAGTAAACAAATATAAAACCTGCTCCTTTTTTGAAGTCGGTCAACAATACAAAGTTGATGTAGAGTGAACGATATATAGTTACTGTATCCAATTTATCTGTGCACAGCTAAAACAACACGAAACATTTTAGGAATGTACTTTATCGAGTATAAATTCCTGCTTCAAGGAACGATACTGATTAATTTGGCCCCTAAATGAGTTTCGATGTATAATGGTCAGAGTAAGCCAGATGTGCATTTCCATTGAGTTAGACAAAATAGTAACTACCACTTCGATATTTTACACATTCTATGCACAGTCATTCAAATAATTCTGTTAAATTAAAATAAACACCGAAAAAACATGTATTATATATTCGTATTGTTAAAATTAATGTTTAAATTTGACGCCCGTTCTTATACTGAAATTCATAGTGAAATTCTGGCCAATTTATATCTGAGAATAGAAGCAAAGGATATGTATGCAATTCAACCATATGCTGCGATATTTATAAAAAAAATCTGTAACAAAAATTAATACGTGAAGCAAGAACTTCTGATCCCTTCCTTAGAATATTACACTAATGGGGGTGTGAGATTTGGTATAGTATATAAATAGTATACGTTTTAACGGGGAAAACTGCAGAAGGCTAATTACAATATGGGTGTAGACAGAAAAGATAACAGACATTGTTTACGTTCTTACGGTCAATATCAAACATATTATAGTCTCCTCGAGAACTGTACTTTAACTGATGATGGTAATCAAAAATCGTGTTATAATTATTTAGGCACGAGCTATATTTTGTAAACGTTGTATGTACCCGTCGATTACCCAATTCTTTAACATTTGTACTGTCGGTATGCCTAACGAATAAATACAACAACAACAACAACAACAACACAACAAAACAACAACAACAATACAACAAGTAAATTAAGTACGTAAAATACCTTAATTAAACAACGAACGACCATAGGACACTTTCGCATTCATAGATTATAGCATAAAACTTAATCCTGTTGTCGATGGAAAACGAAATGCACGCCGCGCGACACGGCTGCGAATTCTCCACGAGCGAAAGAGAGCGTGTCGAAAATAAAAAAGCGCTAACTCTCCCGACGCTCAGTTCGGTATCAGCGCCGGCGGCCGACATGTTAACTAGAGAATAAAAAACCGCCCGCTCGCGCCCGCCCAAACAAATTGCGCCCCGCTGTAAACATGCACGCCGCGACTGCTGACTTGAGGGCGGACGCGGGCCCGACAAAAACTCCCAAAATCGACCTGTCCGGCGCGGCCGCTTAACTTTTAATTACCGAATGTTGCACACGCCGCCACGCTTTCTACTATAGATCGCGGCTACATTATCTAGCAGTACCGACCCGTTAATATTCTTAACTGTTATAACATAGAGTCGAAGTTTATATTATTTATAATCTAATTTAATTACCGAGTTGATATATCGCCCTGCATTAATACATGTATATATATATACATATATATATATATATATATATATATATATATATAACTATATCATATATATATATATATATATATATATATAACAACAACACAACAATACAACAAAATTAAGTAAACAAGTAAATTAAGTACCTAATATATATATACACATAATACCTTATTGATATATCGCCCGGCATTAATACATGTATATAGATTCAAATACGATTTCATTATCTAATATTAACGTCCCTTAAATGTACTTAATACCTTTTAACTCTATAATAGAGGTATATAAGGTATATAAGTCTCTATAGGAGAGTAGAGTCGAATTAAATCTTCTCTAAATCCTGCTTTAATAAACATTTGAACAAGGCATTTCAGATACAGTTGTTTTTTAATTGCTGAAAAAACCTTTTATTGGTTTATCAGCCCACCGTCCGGAAAACGGGGCATTACGCATTAACATATTTAATCCACGCCATCCTTGGTAATAATTCCAATACTAATAATTCTGTAATAGCGTATACGATCGAACAAAGCACGCTGAATCCACTACTCAAGGACCCGTACTTTGTTATCATAATGGTTCTGAAATCTCGGTCCAATGTACCTTCGATATTCTTCATGCAAATGGCAGCAGTGCCTTGTTTAATTCCGAGAAATGTCCCGCGCGCTTTCTTTATGCAAATTGAATAATGTATTCTGTCGATGATAGTACGGAGCCAAAAGAATTAACATTACTCGTTCGCACAGAGGAACGGAACGGGTGCAAGATTAACTCTTACTAATGCAAATTTGAATATTGGTTTTGCTGGTGTCATCAAGAATCATACGCAATATATAAGACATCAATATATTATACGTTTGCGTTGGCACATCACTTTTTTTATTTTGTATATCATGACTGGTGTTTTATAATACATTATCTACACTCTAGATTTAAATGTGCTACAAATGCAAAATAGAATCATTCCACAAAGGTTAAAATAAAAGTAATCATAAAATGCTAGTTAGGTTTGTTTTTTTTTGGTAAATCGTGTATTTTGGTAATAACATTTAGAGACAAATTACTGAGTAATGAAATATGCATATTATTTTTCGATCTTACCGACCTAATAATAAGAAAATATGGAGTGGTGTTTTTCA